CTCATGGTGACATCATTGTGAGATCAAATTGTTGACTGGGTAACTGGCTCAGCGGACGCAGCCGTCTTTCATTTAGGACAACTATTAGCTGTCTCGCTTCCATAGTTTGACCAAACTCCCCATCACATTCATTCCCTTTAAATAGACTCCTAATTATGTGCTGCCTATTATAATTGTTTGCCAGCCATGTGCCTTTGTATATTATAATGCAAAAACTAACAACCATTAGTATAATGACAGTTTTATTCTTTGCATAAAAACACTTCAATTAATTGAACACTAATTGAACACTGGGTGTATTACAACTTTAGAATTGTAATATTTATTTGGTTCTGCACTTTTTCTTGCCACAGAATTACAATCGTATCGACTGAAATGTGAAGAAGCTTTTTGCACAGTGGTGGCCACTAGCGGAGTGAACTGTGAACAGCGATAAGGTATAGCTAAGAAGGGTCCAGACTAACCTTACGAACGAATGACTTACGGAAGGTATACTTAACTAAGAACGTTTCGGGAAACACGTATTAACGTAAAGGTACAACTTAAGGTATAACTTACGAACGACGTAGCGTTAAGAAGGTTTCGGGAAACGCAGCCTAGATCTTTAAAATTAATACATTTTAGATATACATAAATATTGAAATTTAAATAATTAAAAAAACTATAATAGTACTCTTTAAAGTCATTGAATGAAAATTCACCCTACTTATTTTCTAAATGTACGCTATAGATCTGGTTGTTAACCTGTGCATGTTTCATTTGAAAAAAAAAAAAATGTTGATCTTGTAATGTTTAATACAAAACAACAGGCTTCTCTCTTTGATGTGTGCAGAACTTCTCCTATTAATTATTCTGCTGAAACCCAAAGTCCAAAAAAAACAAAACAACCGATGCCTCCCCAAATGAGTCCCAGTATTATATATTTTCTTTTTTATAATCCATTACACTTGGATGTACCTCATAATACAGAAGAATTATGTGGCTTCTTCCATTTTATTGCGACTTTAAGATTCAGATCTTATTTGTGTGTGCGTGTCTGTGTGTGTGTGTGTGTGTGTGTGTGTGTGTAGTTGTCAGAGTTACACAGGCAATGTATTATAGCAAGGGTTATATCTCAGTATCTAATAACTAGTCAAAAGTCCAATTGCACAAATATTTTTTAGACCCATATGGAAAAAGTTTTAAAGCCCAGAGATAAGGCCTACTGTCTGACAAAGCATGACATAGGTTGCAGACACATTTCATATCAAAAGATCTCACCAGCTCCCTCTTGTGTGTATTGGGTGAGCTGAGAATAACTCCTGTTAACCTGCAAACCTTGGGACAGTTTCTCTTCCAATATTCAAGATTTTAGTATTCACTATTTTTTCAGGACATGGCATACATATCTACTAATGCAGTAAGAATACAGAGGATGACAGTGTTTTTCATGCTGCTCAAACATAGTAATATATTCTGTGAAAATGCAAATTAGGCAGTCATGTGTCTATACAGTGGTTATTTTTGACCTCCCCGTTTGTCCAACACAATATTTAAACATATCAACATTTATAATATTTCTGGCATTTCTGCTGTAGCTGCTTGTTTTTAAACTTGTTATTATTATTGTTATTCATAACAGAAACCAATATTGTTGATATATTAAATTAATTAACTACAATTAATCTTTTTTTTTTTTTTTTTTTTTTATTTTAATTTCTTGTGTTCATTTAGTGAAGAACATTGTGGAAAACATTCCTGGTTAGGGATAGGGTTAAACAGATTTTTACCGTATGTCAGTTCTAACATGACTTATTTTGAATCTAGTGGTTACGACAGCTGTTTGGTTGAATTTACAGTTTAATTATAGGTCATCAGATTATATAAATAATGACATATCAAATTTTGTTAAAAATATTTTTAAAAAATTATTTTTAGAAATATTACCAAACCTCATAAATGTAGCAATAGCAAAACACATTCTTCAGAAAGCAATGATGCATCTTACAAAAATTTCAAGAATTGCATGTTTTTATTAACAATATCAAATAAATTATTATGGGGCTGGATATAGATTTGAATTTAGATTAGAGTTTTATTATAATAATAATAATTAATTTACACTGGAAGTTTGCTGAGGTCCCACAGTGGGGGACGACTAGGTCTAGAAAAGAAGTTAAATCTGTTGGTCTTGTCTTGTTCTAGTGGAACTAAAGAAAATATATACATTAATAAACATTAAATTATACACACACACACACACACACACACACACATATATATATATATATATATATATATCCGTCCCAAATTGTAAATTTTTAACACACATGCCACATATGAATAATTAAGTAGGTCGATTTGCATACAGTTTGTCTTCGTTGGTGTTTGGAGGACTGCGTGACAGACCACGCCCACTCTGATGCGTTCCTCCTCAGCAGAAGCACGTGATTAGGCGTGTTTACTTATGGTACAATGTAGCGTCTATGAGACCATCAACCTCAGCCGAATAATCAATTATACGGTCACGTTCAGGATCAGAATCACTTATTGGATTGACATCAGGCCCTTCGCTGACTAGTAACTGCTCGATGCATCTGAGAAAAGGGAAAGTCGAGTGAATAGCCTGAGGGCGAGCGAGCCAAACAGACAGACGAGGGGAAAGGTAAGATTGACATATTGTGCATTAGATATTTGACGTTGTTGTAAAATCATATTAACCGTTTGTATTCGTATTGCAGTCGCATTGACCGCATATCAGCTAACGCAAGTGTAATGCAAACGCTGTCATAGTAGTTTATAATAGGTCGCTGTGGCTTTGAGGAAGTTGACATTGAACCTGAAATACCAACGACTGTGGAAGTGACCTACAATGTTAGTTGAACAATGAGAACAAAAAAAATATTGTGTCAATATCTCGATACGTCCCGTTTTCAGTGCATGTTACATGATTATGCTTTATCTGTGCCATATTGCCTAATCACATGGAACGCTGTGTCGGGCTGCGTCTCAAAACCTATTGAGCTGTCTACCTAGACAACATATTTAGGAATCAGAGGTGCAGTTGCATATGATGCCCACATTGTTGTCTGTCTAGGCCGCTGGCTAGGTTTAGATACTATGTGTAGTTTGAGATACTTTCTATGACTGGTACTGATATGTACAACACATTTTATATTTTTGACAATGATAATTAATTAGAATTAGAATGCAACAATTAAATATGCATTATGAATATTTATACTACTATGATGTTGATTATAACTTTAAAAATACTAATAACAAGCCATAATGTTGTTGAATAAATTATAAATGTGTAAAAGACAAATTTTAAAGGGGTCATATGATGCTTTTTTAAAGATCATTATTTTGTGTATTTGGTGTAAGAGAATATGTTGACATGCTTTAATGTTCAAAAAACACATAATTTTTCAAATACTGTACATTATTGTAAGTTTGGTGCCTGATATTTGAGTAATAGTGGTCAAACTGATTATTGGTTCATCTCTGATGTTGCTGGTTTATATCTTTAGGGTGGGCTCTTTTTAGGGATACTGGACCACCAGATGCATTCCTAATAGCATCTCTGCTGCTAGCCTCATTATGGGCGTTATAGAGGAGACTGACGTAGAGCGTGAGTAACACTCTTATCCACTTTGCACACTACTTCATGTCAAGGAATCTAATGTTAGTCCACACACCTACACACAAGCACCTGTGAACAGGATCTAGTGACACTGCATGTGTAGAGCAGAGTTATAATGTCCTGAATGATTTTTTTGTGTTAAACATTGCCTTGATTTTCATCTCCAGTGTCTCAATGTATAAAGCCACACTGGTTACTTGTAGTGCATTTGGCTGCTGACCAAAACAGGCCAGCTATACATAGAGGTTATGGCAGGGCGATGTAGTTGAAAATATATCTTTGTGTTTTTCAGCCTTTTGACCATATTCAATATACAGCTCAACATTTGTGTATTTTTTCTGAAAGTGGGTTAAAAAAGGTGTCTTTTTTAATTAGAGGAACTATAATTTTAGGCAAACAATAAATGTTGACAAGTAGATTCAAAATGATGAATGCACTGTAATTAAGAGCTACAACAGTAGAAAAAAGTTACAAATTTAATAAACACAAGAAAGAACAAAATGTAGTCATCTTCATTTACATCCACCAATTTAAACATGCATAGTTATAGGAAACGGAATTGTCGAATTAAAAATGTACTACATTCATCACAATATACAGTGGGTACGGAAAGTATTCAGACCCCCTTAAATTTTTCTTCATGTTACCAGCAGATTTCTTGATAATCCACTACTGTTAAAAGCTTTGGGATTTTTAATGTTTTTGAAAAAAAAAGTCTCTTATGCTCTGCATTTATTTAATCAAAATTACACTAAAAACAGTAAATAAAAAATATTATTAAAATTTAAATGAACTGTTTTCTATTTTAATACTTTTAAAAATATATAATTTATTCCTGTGATGGCAAAGCTGAATTTTCTCTGTTACTCCAGTCAAATGTTACATGAGCCTTCTGAAATCATTCTAATATACTGATTATGAAAACAGTTATTCTGCTTAATATTTTGTGGAAACTGTGACACATTTTTTTTTCAAGGTTCTTTGGTGGATAGAAAGTTCAAAAGAACAATATTTATTTGCAATAGGAATGTTTTGTAAAATACATGTTTTTTACTCCCACTTTTGATCAATTTTGTTCATTCCTGCCAAATAAAAGTATAAATATCTTTTAAAATATTAAAAAAATTAATAACTCCAAACTTTTAAATATTAGTGTATTTAATGTTTATTAATCAATATTGCCTGGATATATACCTGTACATGTCTTTATTAATATCAAACTCTTTTATGAAGTGAAATCACTTAAAGAGTTATTTAGTATAATTTTGCCAGGAAAAGTTTTAGAATTTGTATCATATGTTAATGTAAAAAAATCTTGTGTAATATAACTTGTGTTTGTTTGTTTGCTGGTTTTTATTGTATTTGTTATATTTGTATTTTCTGAATTGTTTTTGCCATGAAAATTGCCTAAGATGCTGACATGGCATTAAATAAAAATATACTACTACTACTTTATTAATATCACTTGTTGATACCGAAAGGGCATATTTAGGTGCAAAACAAAAGCACCTGTTTTTCATTTAAAATGGACTCCCCCATGAATCTAGTCACACTGAACAGAGTCATGGGGTTTCTCTTATCCCATTAGTGTCTTTCAACACTGTTCTTTAGGTTGGTTCTGAAGCTAATTGCCCAATGAATATGTTTAGGCAACTCGTTTACTCTGTGCGCTGTAGGTAGATTAGAATAATCTAATCAGATGGGTCTGTATGTGGAGATTAAGTGTGGTTAAAATGTCCAGATGTTGCAAAGTCTGTCTTAAGATATTCTGCATTGCAGATCTTCCTCCTTACGTTGTACTGTCTGTATTGTGAGTTTAGGGGCAGGAGTGAGTCATATGCATCAATCATGTCCTCAGTGCAAAGCTTGTGACCAACTAGTGCACATTTTAGACAGAGTTAATTACACTAATCCCAATGATTAATTGACCACCCTCTCACTAAAGAGTTGTTTTTGAGCAGGCAAGAAACAGCAGTTTCTGGTGTTAAAAGAATATGTTTGTGTAGGAGTGTTCTGTCTGGATTTACCACATAGTCTGATAGTACTAAAACCAAAAAAAGGATTTTAGGTCAGTTGGTCTTTTGAGAAACAGACACAGTATCAAAACAATAGGAAAGCTGTTCTTGTATACATTGCTGTCCAAAAGTTTGGGGTCAGTAAGATTTTCTTGCAAAGATATTAATACATCTATTCAGCAAGAATGCAGTCATTAAATCAAAAGTAATTTTTTTAAATTTTAAAATGTTTAAAGATGTCTGGGTCATTCCGTGTCAACTCAACCAGAGGTCCCCGGCTAAAATTTTTGATTTTGCTAATATTTATTCTGAAGAAAGATAAACATGTATAGTGATGAAAGCCAACATATTAAATGTCATAGATGAATATTTACTGAGGGGGGTCAAAATGGCAATTTTCACCTGAGATTCCGAGCCAAATTACAGGGGGGTACAAATGACTTAAGAAAGATGGCAGCATCATAATGTTACTTTTACTCAGAGATTGGTAGGTCTATTAGTAAAATCTGTTGAATTTAGCAATCTTTGTTGCATTATGTGCCAATGGTGACCATTCAGAAATAGGGAAAGAACACTTTTCAAGTTTTTCTCCAAAGTTTGCAGGCCTGTAACTCAAAAAGTATTAAAAATATCTTAATGCCTTTTTAGATATTGGGTCTTAACAAACTTCTCTTTGGGTATCTTCATTTTTAAGGCTCTATATGGTTCAGTTCCAGAGATAATGGAATTTCAATATGGCTCCAGGAGTAAATCGATAAATTGTACACATTTTCAGTGGTCAAAAACCAAATGTGGGTCACTTTGCAAAAATTTGATCATTCTTTTCTTTTAAAGAGGAATGTCTGAAGAACAAATAATGTTGAAACTAGAAATGCATCTCGTTTTCTTCTGTCAAAACAACTGCATTGAACATACCTGTCTGAGTGCCATAAGTATTCTTTGGAGAAAGAAGCCCTGCAAACTTTGGAGAAAAACTTGAAAAGTGCTCTTTCCCCATTTTTGAATGGTCACCATTGGCACATAATGCAACAAAGATTGCTAAATTCAACAGATTTTACTAATAGACCTACCAATCTCTGAGTAAAAGTAACATTATGATGCTGCCATCTTTCTTAAGTCAATTTTACCCCCCTTTAATTTGGCTCTAAATCTCAGGTGAAAATTGCCATTTTGACCCCCCTCTACAAAATAGTGGATTACTCCGTAAATATTCATCCACGGCATTTAATATTTTGGCTTTCATCACTATACATGTTTATCTTTCTTCAGAATAAATATGGAGACCTCTGGTTGAGTTGACACGGAATGACCCTTTTATTTGACATGCATGCTGTTTTTTGAACTTTCTATTCAACAGAGAATCCTGCACAAAATGTATCAGTTTCAACAAAAATATCAGGTAGCACAACTGTTTTCAACATGGATAATAAGAAATATTTCTTAAGCAAATCAGCATATCAGAATGATTTCTGAAGGATCAAGTTACACTGAAGACTGGAGTAATGGCTGTTGAAAATTCAGCTTTGCCATCACAGGAATAAATTACATTTTAAATATATATTAAAATAGAAAATATGTACCAGTACACACATATCAGCAATTCATACCTATATCCATCATGTTCTGTTCATAAATTCATGTGTTTGTTTTATCCAATCAGAGGTGACCCTGGCTCTTTTGGATGCTGCCAATGACAGGGACCCAGTGGTGCAGGAACAGGTCAGGAAGTCCATCTTGACACTGGGGAACCAGCAGCCTGATAAAGTCCTGTCCATGTGCCAGGACTACCTGCTCAAACATCCCAAGGTCAGCCAAAGCGTTTCCTTAAAACATCAACATGTTTTGAGAAGGTTTTTCAAGGTTTTGTATGTGCTTTCCTCTAATGGTTTTGTAGATTATTGCTGAATGTCATGAATTTTATATGGCCTTTATGATATGAAAAGCATCAAATATTAGAAGACATCATGAAATCAGTCTTGTCTCTGTAGATTTATATATACTACCATTCAAAAGTTTGGTGCGAGTACATTTTTTTTTTAACTTGAAGAAATGTATACGTTTACTCAGCAAGGATGCATTGAATTGATCAAAAGTGACAATAAAGATGTTATAAAAGATTTCTGTTTCCATAAATATAGCCAGCACAACTGTTTTCAACATTGATAATAATAAGAAATATATCTTGAGTGCTATTTGCTTTGCCATCACAGGAATACATTTTAAAATCTATTAAAATGAAAGAACAGTTTAAATTGTACAATTATTGTAATTAATAAATTAAATTTTAATTAAATAAACTTTTAATATTTCACAATATTATTGTTTTAACTGTATTTAATCAAACTAATTCTGCCTTGGTGAGAATAAGAGACATTTTTCAAAAACATAAAAAAACAGTATGTTCCTGACTGAGTTTGTTGGCCTGCTAACAGGAAGCAGAAGCAGTGTTTCAGTCTTCATGCTAATGTCCCCCAGCATGTGTTGTTTCTGAAACGTTTGTGTTGTAATTCAGCAAGTCACATTAAGTCGTTTTATGCTTTATTTCATGTTATGCAAACATGTGATTCCTTTGTTTGTATGGAGATTTTCCTTCTTAGAGGTCAAAATCGCTATTTCCCTAAACAGAAAGGAAAAGAAGATAATTTAGTGCATGTTTCTTTAAAAAGGAAACACATCAATCTCATCTGTAATAAACCTCTTATCAGTAACCAGAGCTCTTCCTTTTATTGATTTGTAATGCCTAGTGTTGCAGGGGAAAACCACTGCTCGGACAGGACTGTGTTTCTGTGTTTTGTGCCTCTGATTTGGCTGAAGTTTGTTTTAATAGTTGACCTACTTTATAAAATTTGAATATAGGATGAGCCTGTGATGAATTTCGAATTATGGTTATCATGTCTTTCATAGTGTATTTCTGTAGTACCTGTGCATGAGTTTACTTGCAGGTTATCTTTGTCCTCTGTAGCTGGTGGTCGGGCACAGAGTGGTAATCTTGCAAACCATTGAATTGGTGGTGAAGAGCAGGATTGATGACATCAGTTACCCCAAGATCAAGAGTGTCATACAGCTAGCATCAGATGAGATGACGAAATCAAAGGTGGGACAGCTGACTTACACCACTGTCCTGAAGTTTGGGGTCAGTAAGGTTAATGCTTCATATTAGAATGATCATGAAGGATCATGTGACGCTGAAGACTGGAGTAATGGTGGCTGCTGAAAATTCAGCTTTGCCATTCCAGGAATACATTCTAAATATATAGGGAAAACATTGTTTTAAATTATAATAATATTTCACAATATTACTGTTTTCATTGTAACTTTGATGAAACTAAAGCAGACTTTGGAGAATAGAGTGTATGAGACTTAAAAAAAAAAAAATCTTACTGACCACAAATGTTTAAACAGTTCCATTAAAACTATAAAGAACAGGTTTTGTTTTGAGTCTTTTGCTTTTAAATTACATTTTGGAAAATAGTTATGTGACATCTGGAAAAGTTTAGTAGCACAAAGCATTACTTTTCTTAGTTAGTTTTTTATTGTTTGTGTATTTAATATACTACACAAATTGTACCGTGATGATTTTTGTATTTAAACATGTACAGTAAAACGAATTGTCCACTCTGTATAGGAGGTTGTCCCAGAATGGCAGCAAGCAGCTAGTAATATTCTAGTTGCTGTGGGAAACAAATATATTAATGACATCATGGAGGAGATACTCGGCAAGTTCCGGCCGGGAGTTTTGCCTCACTTTTTTGTGGTTCAAACACTAGCCAATCTCTCTGACTCAAACGGTACGTATCTTTAATCAAAACTCCTGAAATTAATTCAGTGCTAGATATGCCTTTATGTATCCATAAAATTGGACTTTAATTTTATTTAATGTCAATTTAATAAATTTTAAATACACGTTTTAACTTTATGAAATGAAATGGAAGTTACAGTTACAGACTTGCTGCAACCTTTGATGTTAGAACATGCTTTGTGCATTTGACAGTTGATCATTATTGTTTCTGTTCCTCATTTCACTGAACTTTAGGGAAATTACATTAATAATGAAATAAAAGGGCTTTGTTTAAGCCCTGTGTTCTTTTTTTGACCTGTTTTGATATGTTTGACCTCTACCCACAGTATACGGTATGGTGCCTTTTCTCAATGCTATAATGGGGACCATGTTACCCATGCTGGGCATGACCAAACAAGACAACATGAAATGGGTCTTCTCGTCCGGTAAGTTCAGTTATAGATCTGCGTAAAGTGGTAAATTTTCTGCATCAGCTAAATGACTGATTTTTAAGAAATAAAGTAACTTATGCTCTCTTAGGCCTCCATTTATTTGATCAGATAATCTATTTTAATGTATTTTAAAATTTAATTTATTCCTTTGATGGCAAGGCTGAATTTTCAGCAGCCATTACTCTAGTCTTCATTGTCACATGATCCTTCAGAAATCACTCAAAAAACATTACTTTTTTTATTTATTTGAAATATATTTTTTTTGTAACAACGTAAAACCTTACTGTCACTTTTTATCATTGTAATAAATCGTTGCTGAGTAATAGTTTCTTTAAAAAATGACTGTATATTGTCTTTTACTTACATGAAATGCTTTGATTAGTGTTAAATGTTTGTAGTGATGTGGCTTCTCCTCTCTTAACGTTTCCTCTCAGCTCTCTGCCACTTCAGCGAGAGCATTCTAGAATACCTGGCCAACTTGGACAAAGCTCCGGACCCCACTGTGCGTAAAGACACCTTCTCTAGTGAGATTTACTCAGCCTATGACATCCTGTTCAACAGCTGGATCCAGAGCAGAGAGTCCAAGGTACATTTAATGAGACGAAGCACACATCCAATTACAGCTAACTCATTTTGAGCCTAAAGAGGGACACGAACATGCGCCAACTGAGTTCAGTTCAGTTTTCTTTGGAATTGAAGCAGGGGGGAAAAAAACCCATGTGAGCTTGTGAACTGAATCTACTTCTTTTAGAGAGGTAGATTTCTTTGTAAATGCTGAAGATTGGATTGTATGTAGTAATTTCGCCTTTACACATTACATTATTGCAGCCGGAAAAGATTAAAAATCATATGTTCTATTTAAAATAGTTCTTGGTCACTAATCATTCAAGATTCAGAAATAATTTTTGAAATTTTTCTCAGTCTGTTTTTTTTCTTTCTGTTTCTGTTATTATCTTTTTCAGTTTGTTTGTTAATTTGCTCTAGTGTGAATGTGGATTCATGTATGCGTTGAAACTATTCTCTTGTGTGTCATTCTGCAGCTGCGTCTGACTGTTGCAGAGGCTCTTGGGTCAATGAGTCACCTAATGGCACATGATAAACTGGAAGAACAGCTTCCCAAACTCCTTCCCACTGTACTGGGCCTCTACAAGAAGAATTCAGAACACTACATCATCAGCAAGGTAAAGCCCTCCTCACCATTTCACAATTACAGGAAATGTTTGGTGGAAGTTTATTAACTTCAACCAAGTTCAAGTCCAATTCAGTCCAAGTTCACATGCTTTTCCCCCCACTCTGGACTGTTTCCATATTGTGTTCCGTAAAGACATGGAAATGTGTAATTGTTTTTGCATTATTTAAGCAGCCTGCTGTGACTTTCATAGTCAGATCAGATTTTATGACCAATCTATGAGAAAATCCAGGACTCTGTACTGCCTAATGTAGTCGAATTCTGTTTGTGTTTGTTTAGAGTTTGAGTCAGATCCTGGAGGCCTCTGTGAATATGGGCAGCAGAGTGCTGGAGACACAGATTGATGGTCTCTTAGTCGCTCTGCACCAGCAGGTCAGTGTTTCTTTCACTCGCTATTTATGTGCACCACTTTTTCGTATTCATAAGTCATGATGACAAAAGCCTTTTGCAGACTTCTTCTACATCCCCGGCACAACTTCTTGGTGGAACAGTTTTTAAGTTGCCTAACAGTGTTTCATTTTGGTGGAACAGGTTTTAAGTTGCCTAACAGTGTTACACAGAGTTACACAGCCCAGGGCCGTTTAACAGTTTAACATAGTAGGGATTATTCACAAAAAATCAGATTGGAACAGTTGTTTATTAACTGTTTACTTTAAACCATTCATTTTGCAATTTGAGCATTTTTATTAAAATTTGTTATTTCCTTTCGAAATTAACAGCTTTTCATTTAGATTATTTAATTGCATTCATACCTTATCACTGCTTTTTTCCTTTGAAATTCCAGTTTTCTCAGTTATTAGATACTAATTTGTATTTCTGGACAGCTGTCAGTTACTAAAACAAATAAAGCACATATAAATCCTGTGTTTTTTTTTTATAAACTTAAAATAACTTATTTTGAGTTGACAGAGTTTTCAGGTCCTCATTGTCAATAGATTTATATTAATTTTTCCTTCCAGATATGCTCACCTATGGATTTCAGCAACCCTCCAACTGTGAAAAATCACAACGAGGTCCTGCGATGCTTTACTATTCTTGGTGGGTCTTGGTTAAACCCTTTTCTTAATTTTAAGGTGCATGCAATTGTAAACATCTGATTGAAATCTATTTTCTGGACTAGCCATGTGGACATGAACTCGAGCAAATGTTGTATTCTCAGTCAGCTGACTACTGTAGCAATATCCTTGTGTCATGTGCTGATGGAGTCTGAGCTGAGATTAAGTTAAAGTGTCAGACCAGCAGGCTCCTCCAATCAGTGAGATGATATCATACAGTTGTGTGCTCGGTGCTGATTTGAGGTGGCACACACCAGCTGGATCGCACTCCTCTTGCTTTTGTGTTTTATCAAGCAAATGCAAGGAGTCCAGGAGCTGTTAAAGTGTTTTCTGTGTGTGTGTGTGTGTGTGTGTGTGTGTGTGTGTGTGTCTATCATGATGTTATAATCATGAGCGGGTGTTTCAGCTGTGAAAAGATTTGGTGTTAGTGCTAGACTACAAATGCATAAAAATATATTAATTAGAACAATGACTTCTTAAATATAATTCAATTAATTCATTAATTTTTTTGTTTTTAACCAATTAATGTTCAGCTGTTGAGAGCTGCTGGTCTAGGTAATGTAGCTGCCTTTATATGGGCTATTTAAACAATGGATCATTTACCAGGCATTAAAACCAGACACCATTGACTAATGTATGCATTCATACGCAGATTTTGGTGGTTCATTTACTGGCACAGAACACTGTCAAAGACTTTATCGGTAACTGAGGGTAAACTTGACAAATTGCATTCATTTTCACTTCTATATTTTGCTGTTTTTGGCCCCAGCTAACACGTTCCCGGACCGTCTGATGGTGTTTGTTCTCCAGAGGTTGGAGAACAGTAACGAAAGGAACAGAATGGGCTCGCTGGCTGTTCTCAGACACCTCATCAACTCATCCAGTGAGTTTTAAACATGTAATCAAATACGTCAATGATTTCTTCCTCAGCCAGACACTCTTATCCAGATTGTCATACCTGGCTATGAAAAGATCAGAATGTTTTGCTGCCATTGTCATTTTAAAGACCTGTATTTTTAAAACTCTGCTCTGTCTGTTCAAGCCTCCATTATGGAAACCAAGAGGCTCCTAATTCTAGTCAGCATCAGGCAACCTCTGGCTGACCACAGTAATAAGGTACATAAATATATCCTACCTATGTGATAAGTGACAAACTATGGGTGTTTCATCATCTTTGGGCACTTTTTGTCCTGCAGACCTTTAGAAAATAAACTCCCTTAAAATACATTTTTCACAATTTTACTAGTTTATTTAATTTGTCTACTAAAATGTCCAACAGTGAATGTACATGCATCATAGGAGGATTTGACATTGGCTATGTTTCCATTCAAAGTTGTGAATTTAACTTATGCACAAAATTAGAATATTGTATAAAACCTTTGCAAATAAAGAACTGTTTCCATCCCATGTCTTCAAAAGAAAAAAAACCCCCGTCACTTTCTGGGAAACTGATGCAAAGTTACAGTAATATAAATGAAAGATGCTGCAACTGGGGAAGCCTGTGGCTCTTTATTCCTACATAATAAATGACTTGTGCCAGACGAAACGCAATAACAAACAATGTTCCGGTTCTTGATGTTTGGGAATGCAATTGTGTGAGACAATAATGGGAGGTGATTACTAAATAATTTTAATGATGGAAAAATAGGTGGATGGAAACATAGCTATTAACATTAACATTTGTTCTGCAGTGTCATTGTCACCACATCTCAAGTTATGTATTGTGTTTGATAGGATTATGTGGTGTAAATTAGGCCTAATACAATTAAATTCACACTTGCATAATTTGAAATGACACGTTTTAAAATGTTTTCTTCACAAATGTTTTTTAATCTTGATTTTTCTTGGTTTTCTTCACTCATCACATGTATAATCTTAAGTGTTCTTCAATGACACCTGGGTAATCAAGTACACTAATATATAGGTTTGTCATTTGGTGTTGGACAGTTTGAACAATTGCTTGAGACAACTGAAAATGACAACTGTTACATTTTTGTTCTAAAAATCCATTATTTTTGCAGAATAAATATTTGTTTTTCACTCTTTGTTGATTATTTTATTATCTTAAAATAGTTTATGGTGAAAGTCAGGCAAGTGTAAACCGATAAAATATATGCAAAAAATTGTGTTTTATGTTTTCAAGTGTTTAAAAGTTTTAATATGACATTCAACCTCTCGTACATATAAGTACCGAAAGTTATATAAATATATGTGATCCATTTTTTGTTTTCATGTAAAACTCATACTGGTGTCATACTGCTCATTTTGAGTGCTCAGAAAGGTTTCAATGATCGTGTTTGCCTGTGCAGGTGAAGAAGAGAGTGGTGCAGGTGATCAGTGCTATGGCTCATCATGGTTACCTAGAGCTAGAGGGAGGAGACCTGCTTGTCCGTTTCATCATCCAGCACTGCGCTCTACCAGACACTTACCATGTACAAACAACCGTTACTCACTAACACATTTCTTATCTTACTCCTGATCAGCAGTGTCACATGACTGTAGCTGCAAATCAACTTCCTGCTCGCTGAAGTTCCAAATCCCCTTGCTTGATTTCCCATGCATTGCATTGCAAGATTGTCTATAGTCGATTTGTTTAATATCAATTCAGCTTTTTTCATTCAGTTCTTAGTCCATGTTGAGCAACATTTCAGTGCATACCTCAGTTTTTGAATATTTACATTAGTTAGTTAGCTTTGCACTGTTATTGGCTTTAGCCCAGCCCTAGTAATGCTAGGTTGTGTGATACAATACAGCTAATAAATTGTTAATATTCACACAGCGACCTCCAGACCCAGAGGAAGTGACTAATGAGGCTCTGCGTAGCATGTGTGATAACACATTGCATCTTTTCACTACCACAGTGGGCCGCCTGACTGATGTGAGTATACAGATAAGTACAAACAAGCGTACACCTTCCTCATCTTGATGCTTGAAGTCATGGTTCATCTTTCAAAATGTGCAGTGCTCACCTTTGTTCTGTTTTATTCTGTTGTGCAGCATTATGATTGACCGTAATTGCATGTCATTTATCAAGTGAACTTGTAGTTAAAACCATGGTTTTGCTATACTAATCTCAGTTTAACCATGGTATTTGTAGTAATCAATCCACCAAAAATCCATGGTTACCACACTTTCACTATAATAAAACCATGGTTAATTTTTGTAAGGGTATTAGGGAGAACATCAGTGTCTGTAGTGGTGACAGTCCTGCTGCCACTAAATCAGACACATGCACATCTGCAATGCGTCTTATTATCCTAAAGACAACTCAATGAAACTCTTACATAGTGAGAGATGGGCTTTGCAGTCATTCAGCACAGTCCATCATCTTCACAGCCAAAGTCAGCAGCCGCAGCTCGCCATTGCCGCTTGTAAGAGAGAGTGTCTAGAGAAATATTAGATCTTTTTTCCTGTGAGCCTCCCAACATCAACATCAGGCCATTGACAGGGATCTCTCCTCAGCAGACAGACGAAGACAGTTTATGTGCCGATGAGACTGTCTCCATTCCCTCTGCCAAAACACATTCGAATGATAACCAGGAAAATGTCAGGAGATGTATATAGCCAGACTATATTTAGACTTTTGTTGTGTCTATCTTGTTAACATGTTGTTTTAAAGCACTGAGTTTGGACTTTTATGAGATTTATTGTGAATATGGATTTATGGTTTGTGGGATTTATTCAGTTTAATTCACGTTTATTTGTATAGTGCTTTTTTCAATACAAATCGTTGCAAAGCAGCTTCACAGAAAATGAAAGTTTCTACATTACATTTAGGAGTAGTGCATATCGATCCGTCCGTCCGTCCGTCCATCCATCCATCCATCCATCTACACACACATACACACACATTTATACATATTTATAGACAATAAAATATATATAAATAAACAATGTAAGACCTCAAGGAAAATGTTGAACAAAGTTCCACTATAAAAATAATTTTAACTGTAAAAGATTAGTGTATTAGTTAACAGTAACTTCACTAACTATACACAGTGAAAATGTAATAAAACTGTAATAATTTAGGTAAAATACTGTTACATTTGCAGTTTTTGCAAGTGAATAAGGAAAGTCATCATATAATTTAAAGTGAAAAAAAACGTAAATTGACATTCCCAGAATTCCCTGAGTCACACTTGACATTTGATGGTTTTTATTCATTAAAATAACTTAAGTCTTTCTTATTTTTTTCTTATCAGTACATTAGGGTTTTATGTTACATTTTACACTGTTTAATTAATGTTTATTGCTATTATGTTTATTTTAGTGTAATAATTGTGGCCCTGATGGGAGGTATTAATACTTTGTTAAATTGTCCAAGACTACCTCTATGTATGGCTTTGGTTTACTTCATATAATTACTGTACATCTGAAATGATGTTATTTCCTGTGTAGGTTCTGTGGCCGATGTTGCTTTGCTACCTGACCCCAAATCAGTATGCCAATGCTACTACACCATTGTGCAAGAGTTTAATTCTGCTGGCCAACAAGAAACAAACAGCACAAGAACCCAACTTCATCATCGACTTCAATGCACAAGGTGTGGACACACACACATGATGTCACTGATGAGCCTAGACTCAGACTAAGAGCTTTTCCACTGTCTGACCTAAAGACACCCTGGAATCACACTTTCTGTCTTTTTGGCAGTGTGGCAAATCCAGCAGCAGTTATTAAACCCTTTTTTCCATTGTTGGCCTGAAACTAAATTGCACTTGCAGACGTTTTGTTTTCATTGCAAGTCGTTTGCTTTGCCTGTTGAGTCTGTTTCTAATTAGTCAAATGAAAAGTGGTATTTATCAACTGAATAAAGTTTTTGGGGCAGAGGCTAATTGTTTCTTACGCTGACAGTGATTAAATTGAACTCTAGTAGGACAAATAAGTCCCAGGTTCAGTGATTATTTATTCGTTAATTGTAATGCTTTTGGATCATGGGCTTCACTAATGGGTTACCCTTGTCTGCCCTCCCCCTCTCTCTGTCTTACTCTGTTTCTTCCTTCTTCCCGCAGGCTCTAGTCTTCCCTCACAATATATCCTGATGATAAGGCTCTTGGTAAGTGTCAAATTCCCACCGTTTTTTTTTTTATTAGATTGTTCTCAGTTTCAGCTGGGCAATGAGTAAGGTAAAGAGTAAATAAATTATTTTTGTATAATTACCAGTGGATATTTCACTGTTCCCTATTACAAGATACCAGTGCTACTTTCATACACTAATGTTCAAAAGTTTGAGGTCAGTATTTATTTGCAAAGAAATGGGGATAGTTGACCTAAAAATGAAAATTGTGTCATTTACTCACCCTCATGTCGTTCTAAACCTGTATGAGATTCTTTCTTATGTTGTACATAAAAGAAGATATTCTGAAGAATGCTGGTAATCAAACAGTTGATGGTCCCCATTGACTTCCATAGTATTTTTTTCCCTACTATGGAAAGTAAATGGGGACCAATAATGTTTGGTTCTTCAAAATGTCTTCTTTTGTGTTCAACATAAGAACGACATGCGAGTGAGTAAATGATGACAACATTTTCATTTTTGGGTGAAATCGGTCAAAAGTGACAGCTTTTTTGATCAAATAAATGCATCTTTGTGAGCATAAGAAATCATTTAAAAAATCCTACCAACTCTAAACTATTTCTAAACACATGATATTCCTAAACACAAATATTGATTTCAAGCTAACAGTATCCATTTAGTTGTGTTTTTTTTAGTCTAGATTTTAGTCTGCTGCAATTTTATTTATTCTTTTGTCATCCATTCGTTAAAGACAAACATTTTTTTTAATCTCAGTTTCTCCTCATTTTTTTGAATCATGATGTCATTTAGTCTATGCTTAGTGCAGACCTTAAAACTTCTCAAATTAATGTTACATTTTCCTCAGGTGAATGCTGCGTTCCCGTTTCGATGCAGGGGACATGGTGCTCCCTCTCTAAGTCTGCTCCACGCTATCAGCCCTAACATTCACCCTAAAGCCGAGCCTCTGTGGGAAAACGAGATTCCAAAGCTGGTCAATTATCTTGAAGGTTTGTTAAAATATACAACAGTGATGTAGTGGATTAGGTACAGAGCTTTTCTTCATCAGGCTACCAGAACACGCCACCTATTGGTCAGCTCTGTCTAATTTAACCTGCTGTGAGATTTCAATGAAGTAGGTACATTTACTGACATAAAAGGACTTTTTACCTTATTTAGTCTAGTAACTGATATTTTACAGGTTCTCTAGACTCGCTCTGTCAGTTTTTAGTCGAACGAGAGCTCATCTGCTATGATTAGGTCCTTAGAGACTCACAAGACGACCAGATGTTTCCAAGATGCAGCCAAAGTCATTTTTAAATATGAAAAATCATATTTCACATTCAACGACTCTTCCAAGATAGTTACACGGTATAGCTTTAAAAAGTTATATTGGGTATCCCATTATCTTTGACTTTTTCCAGAGTGTGGTTTGAATGCATCTCTGACTGAATTTGTCTCTGTCTTTTAACCAGAATCAACAGAAGATTCTCTGGATAAAAAGAAATGGGAAGAAACTTTACTTCAGGTCTGTAGTAATTTGTATGAATTAATAATGGCTGTTGAAAAGAGACGCTTGTGTTATTAAAAATGGGGAAATTAGGAAATCTATAGGAATAAATCATATCTATATCTAGAAGAATAAGTGAAAGTTAAGCACTGACCAGTTGCAAACGTCCTAATGGCCAAAGTAAATGGTGTTTAATCAGACATTGCTTTCTGATTGTGATCAAGCTCCTGTCTAAAACTCTGGCAGCCATTGATGACAGCCAGTGGACTGGTCAGCTTGCAGTAGAAGCCACACGATACCTTCCTACCTACAACAACGCTCTGGAGGAGAAGGTCAGTTTGGAAATCCATCTGTGCCTTTTCATATTATAAACCAGGTTTATTATTTCAGAAAAGGAACTTTCTAAGTCCGATAGATTTTTTGGTTCTGCATTTTATAAGTCTCGTTATTTTATATTTTTGTTCTAATTACTAATTATTATATTTGTATCTAATTATTATAAAACAGCAGTTCAAGAAAATAGTTCTCAGCTTATTTAAATTTATTGCCTACATAATAAATCTCCCATGCAGTTTGCCCAAACAAAATAAGTATTTGAATGTAAATTTTACTTAATTTCCTGGGTTCTTGTGATAAACTCTTCTTTCTTTCTCTTTTTCTCAGAGTTTTTTGTATAGGTGTATCGGTGTGATTCTCCAGCAGTGCTATAATAAAGAGCTGGTCAGGAAACAGCTGCAGGAGATCTTGATCGGCACTCGTCACAATGATGCAATTGAAAGAACGGTATGCCACTGAGCACTTATTAGTTCACTTCTAACTTCTGAAATAAGAGGCATAACTTCTCAGAGAGTTTACTGTGTTGACAGTCAAACAGCTTGCTGAAGCAGCGCATGCTGACAGCACACTAAAACCTTCTCTAGGGAATTATGTCTCTTAATTCATCACTTTAACCACACTGCCACAAAAAATGTGAAGAAAAATTAAATATTAGAAAACAATTTAAATCTAGTTGCAAATTGACTGCAGTATTTTTACGGAAAATAATACGTTTTATTTACTTTATATAAGTAAATAGCAGCATGTTTCAGGTGATAAAAACATGACTTCTGGATAATATGGTAGTCCATTGTTGGATGACCAATTGGCCATTCTTATCCATTCCTGTCCCTAAATTTAGGTCATTCTACTGCTTAGTGTTACAAGAGAACACATATCACATAATTTCTAATCATAGATTGGTACAAAATTGGCTTCAAATGTTCCACAGTTTGGATATCTGAGGTTTTGCAGTTATTTAAAAGCCGCTAATTAAGAATAATGAAAGTAACAGGCAGTAATTGGTATGCAGGGTGTTGCCATGGGAATCGGGTTGTGTGCCAGCAGTCATCTCGATGGCACTCTGGAAAAACTGGAGGAGTTTGGGAAGTCTGACGCCTTCAGGAAAGCCTCAGGGATATTTGGTCTTCTCAAAGTAGGCCGAGCTTCATTGTACATTGTGATGCAAATTAAAACATCTTTTTATTCCCCAAATTAGATTGTTAAAAACGGTAACATTTAAATTTGGTTTGAAATTATTGTTTTACCATGTTATGTGTTTTTAATAATAGTAATTGTAAAATGTAACCGTGCACAGTGTTTCATTGAGCAAAGGTTAAATTGTAAGTGCTTCAGAGACTATATTTTACACATTTATCTTGTTGTGTGTCACTTTTTTTTGTCATTCAGGATAAAAACGATGTTGATGTGGAGAAAATGAAGAGCACTCTCATTTTGTGTTATGGCTATGTTGCGTTGCATGCTCCAGAAGATAAGCTCCTCACTCGCATCGATAGTGACATTCTCCACAACATCTCCAAGAACTTCAACACCAAGGTAAAACAAAGTGGTATTCTAAATTGGTATTTCTAAATTCTAATTCTTATTTATTCCTCTGAAGTTTAAATTGATAGTTTTGTGGCTTTTAGTCTTTTTAGTCAGTTACCACATTTTAGTGTACTCATAAAAGTTGACAAAAATAACTTTTAGCAGATTTACACTTTTAAAATGTACAGTCTCTTTTCTGAGAAAAATGGACCAAAAATATTGATGACTAGACTTGCAGTTGCATTAGATGTTTGGTGGAGGTTTTTGGAAAAATGTCATGCCTCTGTAGACATTCTATTATGTTAGATGAACAGCTAATTTATTTGATCAGAATTAATACATTAATCATTTCCCATTGTTTATTACAGCAGTGAGGCACAAAAAACAAAAATGTGTTGCTGCTGTGAGGTGTTTTGCTAAACAAGTCCTTTGAATGTCCTAGTATATTGTTGACAGGATTCAGTTGGCTGCTTTTGAGGCTGCAGTTATGACAGTTTGATCTAAATGATTTTTAACGACAAGGATCATTAATTCTCTTTGAGTGCTGAATCATACCTCATCAATATTCATAATGTAATTGTGCGATTTAAAATAATTTCACTGTTAGGGAACCATGTAACTCATTTTGTTTTAACATTCTGCGGTCCAATTTGAATATCAAAGTTGAGTTCGTCTTGGTCTTTGTTGGGATTTTAGGAGAATTTTGTTAAACTGAGATGTTATATATATATATATATATATATATACAAACAGTATCTGAAGGTTCACTTAATTCATCATTCTTATAGTCCATTTTGTTGTTAAATAAAAAGGATTATCTTTAATGTTTGTGAATTACATTGCATCATTACTTTTATTGTTGCACAGGTTCTGGGAATTAAAGTAGAGACCAAGGTACCGTGAAAGGAAGCGATCACAAGGACCTCCTCTGACCTTTGAACTTTAACTCACTTTCTCTTCAGTCTTGATGCTGCAATCAAAATCTTTACAGTATAACCTTTTGAGCTTCTCAAAAAAGTTCATAAACCTCTCAGCTATCTCTTTATGACCCTGAGATGGATTTTAAAAAGCATTTATAAGCTCTTCCTATTTAGTTTTGATATTTTTAAAAGGTCTGTTGTTATATTAGAGTTTAAAATAAAGATGACATTTTAAACTGGCTTTACACTAGTAAGTAAAAGTTCAATGTTTTTTGAGAAGGTCAAAAAGTGCTCACTAACCTGATAACCTTTGTCTTACTAAAGCGTCACAGTGTCTTGATTTTCTGGCTTTTGTGGATTTTAGGTGACTTGATTCATCAATTCAACTCTTTTTTTTTTTTTCTATTGAATCACAATTATATTGTCAAAGATTGTGATTTTCATCTCTTAATAGCACTGTTTAGAGTACAAGTAAGTGAAGTCAAACATGTCAATTACTTTAAAATGAGCATGCTGAGTGCAGCTGTGACCAGGAAATGCTTTCCTAATTCCAGGTCTTGATTTGCCTCTGCTGTTTGATTGACATTTGCACTGTTTCATTACGCATAGTTTGAGTGTGTGTTTGCATCTCTTTATATGTGTTTGTGTGTATGTATGTTTATGGGCACGTCATAGGACCTGACTATGAAGCTCAGTCTCATTCATAGTGTCGGACTCATTGCCAAGGCCATCAGCAAAAGTGTTCGTAAACAGGGCTACCTGTTCTCCCGCAAACAAGAGTTGATGGGCGTTATGATGGTGAGAGGTTTGATATGATGATCATTCAGTTTTTAATATACTGTATGTATGTTTTCAATGTAAGAAAATGTTTGTTTGTTTGTTTGTTTTTTAAACTCAGATCAGTTTCATAATGATATGCAGATTTATTTGGCATTTATGTCTTCTATTTAAATGCAGGATTTCATAAAAGCTGAACCAACAGATGTCATGCGGACCCCAGTTCGCTATCTTGTATTGACCACATGTGCCAACCTCATGTATCCTACCATTTTAAATCTTTCTTGTGTTCATCTTCACTACTGTGTTCATTCATTTTTAAAAGATTTGTAAACATATGCTAAACTGCCATCTTTGTCCATTGCAATGCAGTGCCGCACTCTGTTAAGAACTTGACTCAAGTCTTCAGAAACTTAGATCCTCCTTTAACAGAAAATGAAAACTTTGACTTGTTAAAAACATGTTTGAATGGAGTTTATGGGCTTCCTACTGTGGACACTCCGGACAAGGCTAAAGATGAAGAAGCCCTGGATCCACAGCAAAGAGAGGTCAGAATAAAATATGCATGTATCTACACATGTCTGTGAACATCAGTACTCTCTCCTGTATGCTTTAAAAATAAAGTATGTTTTCACTGCAATGCGTTTTCCCTCAGGTCTTATATTCAGATACTTTTACTGCTCTTCATGAATTGCTGAGGAATGTGCTAGCCAGAGACTTGAGTCCTGATGGTCTGCAGTCTGTGTTCAAGGTAAAGAAGAAACTATTAACATGACTTGCCATTTTGCAGTCCCTTTGTCTGAGCCCTATTTATTGAGTGCTTTTGCACTTTCCAGCATATAGAAAGCTGGCTGAGCTCAGGACAAGACCATGAGCGGGAGAGGGCAGTAAAGACCACAGCAGAGTTACTGCAGTTCTACTTGGACAATCTCAGGGTGAAGGTAAGGAGCATCATTGACACATATGTGTTTATATATTACATTCACATCTATAGCATCCATAATGCAGTAACTAGTGATATTCTTTGGATTTCGAATGTTGGGAAAGGATTCTTTTGGGGTTATGTGTTACTGTGTTGAGTTACTCATATTATTTTAAAATTTTAAGTATCTCTAAAATCCCCAAAATGCTCAAACAGCTAGTTTTACAATACTTGTGGACCACATGGGAGAGGAAAGGGTTTTGTTTGTAGAGAAGTAATTTGAATATACTATAATTAAAAGATATAGATATAGATTACAGATATTTAGTTATTTTAAGTAATTATTTAAAGTAATGTAGAATTTAAATGTAGTAATTAAAGTGTTACTTTCTTGGTTAAAAAAGTCTTCTGTTTATTTGTAGATTGTTACCACAAAACACTGTGAATCAGCCTAGACCAATTCCTTACATCCTTTAGATACAAAGCATTCACTTTCAGCACCTATTATTTTATTCTGTCCAAGCTGAAATGTTAAGTAGGATCATTTATTTTGCTCTTCCTAAAAGACGTGTTGGTTTCCTCAAGGCACTGATTAATGAAATATGTGCTTTGGGAAACAAATGTAGTTAAAATTTTATTAGATCTCAACCTCGGTGCTAATGAATCTTTCTCTTTCATTCTTTCTCTCTGTCTAGAATCTAGTGACATTCCATAATTTAGGAGCTCTTGTGGGGCGACTGGCCCCACGGTGCACAGACCCAAACCCTGAGGTGCGACGGGCAGCCATAGACTGCGTCTATAGACTAATGTACATTCAGCTGCGCTATGAAGGTACTGCCCAGTTTTTCATAGCACAACTCAGTTTTGTCTAACCCAGGGTGAGCTTCAGATTGACAATCTGTCAATATTATATTATGTGTTATGTTATGCTGAAATACTTAACAAAGGGTCTATGCTCTTCCATTTTTCAGGCTTTTCACTGGACTACAAGGACGATTCAGTTGAGGGTCTGTTAGATGTTCGCGAGAAGCTAAGCAATCCTGACAATACAGTCTTGTATAAAACCTGCTCTGAGCTGACTAAGGTTAATTGTCCTGATGTAATGTTCTCCTAAAATACTGATACTTAAAAAAAAAAAAACTCTTAAGTATCCACCAGCTCTCTTTCTGAAAATGAAACTGACTCTTTCTCCCTCTCCACCCCCTGTGTCTTGTGTTTTAGATCATCAGTAAGCGTTTGCCCCAGCAGCAGTTGAGCACCCTGTTGTTTATGCTGTATGATGGTTTGGTGGACTCTCAGTCCAACTGTTCCAGAGCATCCAGCGTGATCCTCAACACCTTGCTGAAGAACAGAGGTGCTGGCCTGCAGGATCTGGTACATTACACATTACAATTTTTTGCAAATGTTCTTGCATAATAAGTTTATATTGGCCTTGGAGGTTTGTTGAATGTAATTTGTTTAATTTTAGCTAAATATATACTTAATACTGCTACAAGCTTTTAGATTCCATAAAAAGTGGTTCTAATACTACTGTTCAAATGTTTGGGTTCATAAAGATTTTTTAAGGTTTTCTTAAAGTAGTTTCTAATGCTCATCAAGGCTGCATTTATTTGATTGAAAATACAGTAACAATAGTAATATTGTGAATTAATATTTCAGTTTAAAATGACTTTAGCCATTACTTCAGTATTCAGTGTCACATGATCCTTCAGAAATAAATTCAATATGCTGATTTGGTGCTCAAGAAAGGTTTGTTGAAAACAGTTGTTGCTTTTTGTTGTTGTTGAGGAAACTGTTTTTCAGGATTCTTTGAAAATAAAGTTCAAAAGAACAGCACTTATTTGAAATAGAAGTATTTTGTAACAATGTAAAGCACTTTAGCCTTGCTGAATAAATGAATTAATTTGTTTTTTAAAAATGTTTTTTGACTTCAAACATCTGCAGTTTGTCAATATTCTAACAACTTCTAACTTCTAAATTCTTTAATGAATCATTCAGACTGGGTTTGTGAACCAGATCAACTGATTCATTGAAGAGACAATTCATTGTTGAATTGAATTTCACTTCTATCATGACCAAGGCAAGAAGGACTAGAGTGAATTTGTAATGAATAAAGACTTACATTTCAATTTGAACCTATTAGTAGCTTGTAGCTTACAAAACTAGTTTATACGTTCCTAAAATTCCTCTCACTGACATGTGCACAAGTGTTCCCTTCATGCTCCTGTTTTCATGTTCAATGAAACTGTAATTATTTTCTATCTTGTCAGTTTTTACTTCTTGTGTCTTGACTCTTTGTCAGGTACCAGAGATGCTTGAGGTGTTACACAACCGACTGCAGGTGATTGGTGAAGAGCAGGTAAAGGTGGCCATCGGTCAGTCCATCCTCATCCTCGCTACACAGCATCTGCAGACAGTGGTCAACACGCTCGTTGCCTACCCACTACCATACGACAGGTGATTACTGTGCGTGTTGTTTATGTGCATGGCATTCATTGTCTGTCATGTGCTCCGTGATGCTCAAGCATAATAATGATGTGCTTATGTTTGTGTCATTGTGTGTTTTCTCCAGCTGGAGCTGTGAGATGTGGATAGCTCTAGGAGCAGACAGCACTCTGGCCCTGCAAATCATGGAGATGATTATCGAGAAGCTGAATGTTATGGTTCCCTATGTAGATAAGAAAGAGTCCATGTTGAGACCCGGTTTGACCAAAGTTGCCACAAGCCAACCACTGGCTGTAAGTATTAATATATGTATGATTTGTATTATTTGACTCATCCTAACTAGTCACAACGTGTCAATTATGCAGTGTCAAATAATTTTTCGGTCTTTAATGAAGGAGAGAAGCTGCGTGAAGCAACAAAATCACAACAAATAACACCAGATTTGAAACAGAATGCTTAAAATGCAGCTTTGAGAAGCAGGGTGTAGAGAATTTACTGTGAGCGGGACTTCCCATTACAACACATCAAAAATAGAAACCATGTGTTTTTGCAAAATGTCTTGACAAGCGATGCCATTGACTTTCACAGCTTGTTAAAACATATGCTAGTGAAAATAATTAATTGCTAGATTCTTTACTGTTACATTAGTTAGGAAATGGTTTCAACTTTTAAACCTTTTTTGTTCCATTTTTAATGCCATTTTAAGTGGCTTACACTACTACTACTGTTCATACTTTTGGAGTCGGTAAGATTTTTTAAATGTTTTTGATAGAAATCTCTTGCGCTCACCAAGACTGCATTTATTTGATCAAAAATACATTAAAACAGTAATATTATGCAATATTATTATTATTACAATGTAAATAACTGTTTTCTATTTTGAAATAATGTAATCATTCATATGTTGGCAAGAATATGTTGGCAGCTGAATTTTCAGCATCATTACTCCAGTTTTCAGTGTCACATGATCCTTCAGAAATCATTCTGATATGTTGATTTGGTGCTTGGGAAACATTTCTAAACATGTCTTTACTTTCATTTTTGATCAATGTAATGTGTCCATGCTGAATATCAGGAATAAGGTCATATCCAGTGTTGCCAAGTCCATGCTTTTCCCACAGATTTGGCATAAACACTGTTGCTGCGGGTTGATTTTCATGTCCGCGGTTTGAAGCGTTCCCAATAATGTGATATTTAGCCCCTGGAATGCAAATTTTACCTGGGAAACCCCGCCAAAAATGTGTATTTCACCCCCCTGGAATGCAATTTTTTTACTGGGGGACCTCCCTCGAAGCGCGATTTGTCTAGTTTTGAGTAGCATTTGGGCGGGTTTTGTTGAGAAAACCTGGCAACCCTGGTCATATCCCAAACTGTTTTGATTTATCGTTAGTGATTTTCTTTTGTAATGCAACGTTTTGTAGATGACCTGTGCCCTGCGTGAGATGATGCTGAATGGCCAGTCAGCTGATGCCGTGGCGTATCTATTTCCAAAGCTCTTCAGTGCTCTTCTGGTGCGCTTGGGCTCCAGCGTGGGAGTTCAGCTACCTAAAGATCTCAACAGCAACAGCATAATTTCAGACCGCAAAACAACCAACAAAATTAATGTGGCCAATTTCGATGTGTGTGGGTGAGTGGCATAAAGATGGAATTTAGAATAATTTAGGTAACTCTAACAGTATTTTTTTTAAATGATTGTTTTTTTTAATTAATGATTCGTTCTGCCTATGTGCTGATTAGTCAAATCAATCACTGATGAAGTTACATTTTGGGTTGGATGGTAAATTTGAGTGTAGCTACTCATGCAGACATCGCTGAGCTCAGAGTTAATAAGACATCTGTGTTTCTCTTTGCTGTGTGCTCAGGGTGGCAGTGGAGGCCCTGCGGATCCTGCTGGGTCGAGCTCAGCTGGACGCTGTCATGAAACCATTAGATCAGGAGGGAGCTTGGGACAAGATGAAGGACCCGCAGCAGCACACAACAGGAGTCACTCTGCTCTCCAGGTACACACACCTGTCCTCCGTCATCCTCAAGTCATCTTATGCTGTTTGTTGTTTGCAAACTTTTCTACTTGTTCTACTTTGTTAAAGGAGATGCTTATGGCAGTAGAATTGTTCATGAAGACTCATGATGTGTTTTTTATTACAATATTTTGAGAGCGCCACACATCAGTTTCAAGCTCTCATAAATGTGCATGGTCTCATGCAGTGTATTTGTGGAAATTGTACCTGTAAAAGTCATGCAGTGTATTTGTGGAAATTGTACCTGTAAAAGTAAGAGTTTGGAGCTATCATGCTGCTTTCTATCCCATTGTGGTAAGATTAAGTGTGATCATTTTGAAGAAGCTATTCTTTCTAACAGAGCAATGGCAAAGCATGCTGGTCCAAGACTCCCTTCCATTGTGGAAAGTCTGTGTCCTTCTCTCTGTAATATTTATGAGTGCCAGAGGATCACAGTCACAGCATTCTTCTCTGAGGTGAGAACATTTTATTTTATGTGATTTTAGTTAACGGTTTTAGTTCAAAGTTTATTAACGATGAATTACTAAAGACAGATTATTTTGCAAGAGCACAGATTGTTCAGTTTTTTTTTAGAAGAGTGTAATTGTTCAAATATCTCATGGTATATATTTCAATTTAGCAGGGATGAAATTAATTCATCAAAAGAAACAAAGACATTTATAATGTTAAGAAATATTTCTATTTCAAATAAATTATGTTCTTTTAAACTTTATATTCATCAAAGAATCCTGAATTTTGTGGAAACTGTCATAGTTTCAACAAAAATGTTAAGTAGCCACAAAAATGTTAAGTCAGAATATTATAATCAGGAATACGACTGAATTCAACACTACTGAGTGTATGGGTTAATATTAGGGATGCACCGATACCACTTTTTCCAGTACTCGCCCAATACCGATACTTTTATTTTTGGTACTTGCCGATACCGAGTACCGATACCAATATTTTCATTGCATTTGTAAATTTAAAAAATATTGGGTACAGAAACCAAAAGAGTATGTATAATGTTAGACCCGATACCAGTGCATCTCTAGTTAATATTAATATTTCCCATACACACAGCAATGTACCAAACTGTGAGTGGTGAACCAGACAGGTCTTTTTTTAAAAATTTTTTACAGGAACCTTTTCACCCCTGTTTTAATGTGTACTCATAGCTGTTGTAAATTAGACGTCACAATTTATTTGTTTATTCCTTCAAGCTTCTGAACCATCACGTAGTGACTGAACTGATGATTTTGGACATGCTGATGAACAACATGATGGAAAGAATAACTGACACCTGCGGTACGGTTCGCATGCTGGCGGTCCGAGGCCTGGGGAACATTGCTGTGGGCTCACCTGAAAAGGTATAGACGCTCCGCTTGACATCTGAAAACACTCATTGGATGAAGAGTCTAATTGATTTTTTGGGCAGTGATTCTTGGCAGCTGTGTGAGACACATGGCAACTTGTTTATGCAGCAATCAGTAAGGATGTGTGCAGAAAATTGTCTGTATTCTGAAAAGCTGCCTGAAAGTTCCCCGTGTTGTGTTTGCTTAAGACACCTTGCACAAGACGCCTGTTATTATTCTTTGCATTTTATGTCTTCTCTCTGTAGTTAAGTTTTGTCATTACTTATAACAGCGTTGTAACAAAAGCAGTCAGTTCAGCATGTAATTGTATGTTGCTATATGTTAATCTCACTGCCTCTGTTCCCGTTTAGGTGAATAAATATGCAAAGGAGCTTTTAGCAGCCATGAGTTCAGGTATGGAAGAAAACGATGATCCAGGGAAACTCATCACACTGGAGGCCATGTCTGGAATGTCCAAGATATTGATTTACCTGGACCAAAAGAACGTCCACCTGCTTGTGGTTTACATCTTCATGAAGATTAAACCCTTTCTGGAGAATGTGAGTGTCTTGAGAGAAGACAGAATGTTTCAATCGCAATTATAAAGCTAAAATTTCCAGCTAGAATTAGTATTTATGCTACTTCTTTAAGATAATCTCATATTTGTATCGCATTGTTTTTTAAAAGCACAAAAAGGCACAAATCCAATAATTTATTAGAAGCTAATAGTTATGAAACAATTATAAAACAATTACCAAAAACATTTTTACGTGTGTTCTACAGTTGGAACCCCTTTATATTATAATATTATAAAATATTTGCATGTTAACATGAATTAATTACAATTAAATTACAATTAATTAAATTAATTACAAAATAATAAAATAAAAATCTGGGACTCTATATGCTATCTTTGCATGTTAGCACAAATTGTTGTATTGACTGCATACTGTTGCCCATTCTGGCATAGCCTTTTTTTTATTGTAATACATTTTTGTCTGTTTAAGTTGTTTTTTTAATAATATTTATTATTATTAATTTTTTTTTTTTTTTAAATCTCAGCTTTAAACTTTGTGTTTAAAGACATTTATTGTTATTTATTGAATATAATATTTTGTTTGACCTCCTGAAGTTGACAGTCACACTAAAGGGTTAAACACCTACATTCACTCACATTTAATTATACAATTATAATTAAATGTGAGTGAATAAATTTAACTATTTAAGAAAAGTGAAATGTTTTAGGCCCCATTAGTACTCTATTACTAAAAATAGTGTCTTTTTTTGATAAATACAGGCTATTAGAGTACAGTGTTTTGGCAAGCGTGGGTTTTTTTGTTGTATGGCTTTACTTAAAGATCCGTTATGTTCTGTCAGGAGAACGATGAGATCCGATGTGCTTCCATCATGCTCCTGGGGAACCTGTCGAAGTTTGGCTCGGGTGAGCCTGTTTTTAAAGACCAGATCCACAATGTTCTTGTCAGCCTGCTGTTGCATCTCAGTGATCCCAACCCTCAAGTGGTCAAGGTCAGTGATTGATTAGTCTGCACACACTCCTACAGAGATTTTTTGTTGTTGTTATAATGGCTATAAATGTTGAAAGTTAGTTACAATCACAATGCAAAATGTAATAATAATAAGAGTAATAATATGAGAATAGTCCAGAAGTATGATACTTGTGTGTGAGTTTGGTATGTATCTGTTTGTTCCCCTAGGCATGCAAGTACGCCATGCGCATATGTGCTCCAGTCATAGGTTCAGAACAGATTTCTGCCATGTTCCAGAATCATCTTCTTGAGGAGAAGGGTCTGCATCATGGAGAGTTCATTAATGACCTCACCAAATACCTAGTACGGAGCAAAAGCTTTCTTTATTATAAAAACACGCATAGAATAGCTGAGTGTGCTTATGAGTTCAGAGATTCCCTTTTATAGGGAATATCATAACCACTGCTCTGTCACATTTGCATTTGAATCTTTTTATGAATACTCAATGTTTTTACTGTTCCAAACAGTTTTAGTTGATAAAACAGGAACTAAGAGACAATTCATTTTTTTAACTATTTGATTAAGAGAAAATAATAAAATATGTTTTGTCAAAGATCCAGGATTTTCCAGGGATGCTGAACTTCTACCACATCACAGTCATTCAGTTCTTCAAGAGTAACTGGGCTGAGATCAGAGCCAGTGCTGCCATGTTTATTGGTAAAAAAATATATATATATTCTATAGTATTTAAAAAAAAAAAAGAAACATTTTTTCTAGTACTTATGTATTTTTCCTACTGTTATTTTGTGGTGGTTTTGTAACCGCTTTGTGTGTGTGTGTGTGTGTGAATTTTTAGGGTTTTTGCTTGGGAACCTTCCTGATGAGCATTTCTCCCATATGAATATGGGGTCAGTGACAAAGGGTAGGTACCGCAGTTCTATAATAATATCTGCAGTCAAGAGATATATTTAAGGAAGGACAGCACATCCTTGTTATTCTGCTACATTTGCTGTTTCGTGGCACCTAAGGAATCTATTATTTTTGCTTCTATTTTAATGGAGACTTGTCTGGTAAAATACAATGTAGAAGATATTGCTGTTGTGACTCTATCACATAAATGCACCATGCGTTTGTTTGGTTATTACTTGACTTATATTTTCAATTGGTTTACTTTGATTCATTCTTTGATCCATGTCCTTTTTTTCTGTCCTCAGGTCTGGTGATGCTGCTGCAGGATCCAGATCCTCTCGTGCGAGGGAAAGCCGCTGAAGCCATGGGTCATTTTCACTGATGTTACCTCCACTCTGCAGCCAATCAGATTAGTCTTTGATTTTAAGTTTGTTGCTTTGGATAAGGAGGAAGCTTTGAATTGTTGTTCTGTAATAAGCCTTGAAAGGTTTTTATTATTGACCAAAGACTGTGCACTAGTTCTGCAAGAAAAGCGAAAAATAAAAAGGAGAAGACATTTATTGACGTTACAGCACTTTTAAGTACTCTCAGATATACGGTTTGTGATTCCTAGCCCGGGTTTTTCACCAGCGGCAGTTTTTAATGTGAGGTACGTACCTGCGAGCCCTTTAAAAACTAGAAGGTTGTAGGCGAGTACACTGATATTGCTGATATTACTTGCTTGACCATTCCTCTAGCGTGCTAAATGCGTACCACCACTTTAAAGCATTAAATCATTAAAAACGTATGTAGGATGAATCAATATGTTTTAAACCAACATCAACACTGCAAGGTTTTTCTGGTAATAAAATCAGATGTACTGCTCAGTTAAGAGTTTAATCCTGTAAAAAAGCAGATGGTTGAGTCATATTGACCACCATAAACCTTCAGCAATACATCACCCTAATAGGGATGTGCATTAGCATAAGCCGCTAAGCCATTAACTGCAACTGAAATCTCCTGTACTGAAATCCACAATCAAAAATTTATATTTCAATAAGCATTTATAGTATTTTTGCTGTGACTTCTGTGGTTCTGACTGTATCTCATGCACTACAGTGTAACAAACTCAATTGTGCTTCCTTCTCGACCAAGTAGACAAAAACAGTGCCAAAACATAGATTTATAAAAGATCAATTTTACTAGAGTAGATGTTAAAAGATTTCTGACATGTTTCATACTCATTTTGTGCAGCTTCTGTGTAGCTGAAACACCAGTGCTGGCCTTTCTATGGCACTTGTCTTGTTCCGTTTTGTAAATTGTATCTGTGAAATGGATGTTAATTCACAAGTGTGGCCACTATTATTACAGAGTTTGAGCATGTAGAGTATTGAATGAATTCAAGTCAATTCATGATGTTTCATCTTAATAAACTGGACAAAAGTGATGATGGAAAGTTAAATCAACTACTTTTACAAAACTAGTACCTATACAGTGACCTGTACGTAGTTGAACATATATGTAGAAATAAATCAGAGAATTCTGATTTCTATGAGAAACTATGTAAACACAAAATCGTATATTAAACTGTTGATGTAGTGGGTCTATTTCAGTGTAAATGGCCTAACAAAGTCTTCATTCTTTCAGCTTTTTAATATTTAATGAATCTTGGCATTAAAGAATTAGGGAGCAAACCCTTTGTAAACTGCATGGGAGTGACTCCCAGTGAGAAATAGTGAAATATCATTATATTTTGTCTTAGTATATACACTACCGTTCAAAGGTTTGGGGTCATTGGGTCTTTTTTTTAAAATTATTATTATTTTAAAAGAAATTAACACTTTTATTCAACAGGGATGCATTAAATATATCACAATAGAAAATAGTTATTTTACATTTAAAAAATGTTTCACAACATTGCTGTTTTTGGTCGCAGCGTCTCAAGAATAAGAAACTTTTCAAAAACATAAAAAAAAAATCTTTCCGACCCCAAACTTTTGAACATGATAGGCCTGTCTATAAATTGTTTTCTGCAAAACAGTGGATCCAGTTTGGCATATGAAGAAGAGCTGAAGCTCTGGGTTTAGAGAGTGAAAAAAAAAAACATTACAACTCCTTTGTTGCTCAGGGTGTTGAATATGTATTAGCACAAGTCAATCAAATTAAAATGTTTACTAAGGACACAGACCATTAATCTAAATACTTTAGAATTTAGCAATTAGCGGCAGTTATTCCGTTTGGTCAGGAACCCAGTGTGGTAATGATATTGGAATTAATTCCTGGATAAGTCACAGAAAGATTGTGTTAGTGTCTAGGATGGATTTCAGAGCAATCAAACTGCACTGAAGGTTTGCTGGGCGATCATGGTATTGGGCGTGGTGTCATGTTTGCATCTTCTCATTTGTTTGTTTTTGCATGTCTTTTGTTTCCTTTTTCGACAAAATAGTTTTGAATCATGTAGTAGATGTGATTTCTGGATGATGGAGATGAGAATATGTACAACTGAATCATTAAAGTTATTATAGATGACAACCCAGAACTGTCATGTTGGTTTAATTGATGAGTTCTGAAAAGTATATAGAAAATCGAACTAATATATATATATACTGGTGTGAAAAAGTGTTGGCCCCCTTCCTGATTTCTTATTTTTTTGCATGTTTGTCACACTTTAATGTTTCAGATCATCAAACAAATTTAAATATTAAAAAGATAACACAAGTGAACACAACATGCAGTTTTTAAATGGTCAACACTCAGAAAAAACGAAATGTATTAAAAGCTGTCTCTGGGGCACTTTCAAAAATGTACTAATATGTAGGCCTATACCTTGAAGGTAATATAGGGGTAAATTATTAGGTACAATGATCTTTTAGCCTTTGTAAAATAAACAAACACACGACCTTTTATAAAGTTTTTTAAACGTTTTACTTTTTAAACCAAGTCTATGAGGGACAGACCTGTTTACAAAAGACACTCAGTGTCTCTAATTTTCACTATAACTTTCAAAACGTTTTATTGAGTTCTTGTCCTGAACGCATTGTACTTTTATCCCTCGCTACCGTGAGGTCTATATAGGATCGTTAAATTATGACTTTAATATTTTTATTGTTTGATAACCGTATTACCAAAGAAATAATAAACTATTACCGAACTACATTGACTATTTTCACAATAGGCTATAGCACGTGAATATGGTAGTGCCTTGGACAACTGTGTAAATAATACCGTGGTATTCATTAAGTAAAATAGTATTAATTCATATAAAAGTATCATGATATTAGCATCTGATATTAGATCGTTTATGGTATTGCAACAGCACTTTTCTGTGTGGAACAAACCATGTGTAGGCCTATTTCACTTCCAGAGTTAGCCACAAGAGGCCGCCACAATGTGTCTTAAAGAAGCCCCTTGACACTTCCAGCATTAAAAGCTGACTAACAACATAAATGACCGGCCTAACTGAATGAGATTGCTCATCCAACAATAATTCTACTGGACCAAGAGGTCAAAGCTACCTTGATTAGATTCTGATTTTCAAAATCACATTACATTTGCAGGCAAATAGAAAGGCCTTTTAATCCTTAATGAAGGTGTTTGAAAGATTAGAGGCAGGACTACATGAGATTGTGACTGTGGACACGTGGTGTGTACCTGAGGGTAATTTTCTCTGTTGGATGCGCTGGCCGTCCTTCTCCCTAATCAAGCTGATCTTGCCTTTCGGCTCACGTCTATTGACTCTCTCCACCTATTCTGCCGGCTATAGCAGCAAGATTAGCCTTCATTTGTTTGCAGTTTGATAACGTTTTCATTGTGCACATCCCTCAAATTTAAAAATAGGCAGAAAATGGGGAAAGGTGTGTGTGTGTGTGAGAGAGAGAGAGAGAGAAAGAACTGGAGCACATGGGATACATTAACTTTTAAAGCGTCCTCTCCTCCATCATCTTATGTGCCTGATGATTCAGGTTGTGAATAACTCTCTTCTGTTATTAATTCAGTTCTTTTCATCATAGCAATTTTTATGACAGGGCCTTCTGCATTAAAAACAAGCTGAAGCATCACAAAACTCCTCAAGGCTTCATTTAAATCTGTGAGAGGAGCCAAGTTCTGATGTTCGGCTGATATAATCAGCACATGCTGTACTGTATTCCTGCAGTTTACCTGCAGAACTGAGCTTTACACTGCACAATGTATGTAATATTTAATAATATCATTTATAAATGGCTCAGAGCTCTTGAGTGCGCCGATTCCGGCCTTATAAATAGTTTTATAAGTTTATATATTTATTTATATGTATACATAGTTTTTTAATCTTCTGAAATTTCTTTGTACCCACAGAGCAAAAATGAGAGTACATGCTGTTTATTTACTTTTTATCGACCCTATTTTCAGAATATTTTTCCAAATGTTATTTTCTGTCAGTATTACTTTACGGAAGCCAGATTGTTTATTCTATACAAACGCTCTGATTTCTGCATCGTAATTATTTCCGCACACTTTCAAGGGAAAGTTTCTATCTCCCGCTCATTCCCTCTCTCTATCCATCCTTCTGGCTCTCCCTCACCCTTTCTCTGAAATTACACTCATTCATTCCCGTGTCAGGGCAGGAGAGAGAGACAGAGAGTGCGTATCTGCAGTTGACCTGGCTCTCTGAGAACATATGGATCTAATCTAAGACTCGATTGCTTGGCTCACATGTGATAGTGCCCATCAATTCATACCCTGTGATGCAATGGGAGAAAATCCTTCCAGAGTTCTGAGGGTATTATATTTCAGTGAGGATGATGCCGGAGCAGACCAGGGCAAAATAGATTGTGGCCTCATGGATGTTAAAACTTTTTCTAAATGTAATGCTGCATTAGATACTGCTTTTTCATGGAATATCACCTTGGAGTTTAGGTAGACATTTTGTTTAAACAGTAACCCACAGTAAGTAAAGTTTTATTTTTTGATGACTTGATCCAGGCCTGTTGCTTAAATTCACAACCCCAGGCCCAATACCAGGGATTTTTAGCAGTGGGCCCATCAATTATAATTGATCTCAAACTGTTTTTTGTGAAATTATGAAATAACATAAAGTTGAGCTAAATTGTGGGATAAAATTATTCCACTATCAGACTAACCACAGTGATATTGATTAGGATTTTTAATGGCACTGCAGTTGATGTATCACAACATCTATTATTAATATGTGTACTATAGACGTTATTTTAGGCAAGACTCAGTTTTATAGAAAGTCTACACAACTGTAGATATAAAACTCTCTATCCAGCCAACACTATTAAAAAGAAAGGTTCCAGAAGGATATTTTTCCTCAGTGATACAAGAGAAAAAACATTTACTGTTCCCTAAAAAAGCTTTCAGTGAACAGATTTTAAAATAGCCATTTTTTTTTAACTTAGTGTGAAGAACATTTTAATAATCTGAAGAAACGTTTTCCACTATCTGAAGATTCCATAGATATTAAAGGGTCTTCATGGAGCCACAGGTGCCAATAATAAAACATTATTTTAAGAGTGAAGAAAAAATCCTGACTGGATCTCAGTGAGGCAGTTTTGCATTTTAATAAACCTGACCCATCTGTACTGGCCATTATTTAGTTAATAATGCTCCTTTTTTTAATGAGGAATCACTACTGTTAATGGAGTCTTAATTAACCAGAAATAACTCACTCCTTTAAACTAATTAAACAACATTTGATCTGTTTTATCAGAAGGACTCTTAAATTGTTTTCAGTAGTTGAAGAGGACAAACGTCCTTCAGGGAGAGAGGAGAATTATTTTGTCAAGAGGACATTCAGAGAATTACTCTGCCTCTCCAAATTAAACGTCTGGTTGAGCCACTCAGAATCAATTTAAAGTGTTGCTCTGGTAGAGGACAAGCTACCTTTGCGTGTTAATAACTGTCAATTAATGAATTCAACTCTCAGATGGTTCAACTCATCACAGCTCTGCGCCGTTGTCTAATATTAATGCTAATGATGTCAAGATCTTCTGAGGGCAAACTTCAAACATGTTGAAATTGCTCATAATGGTTCAGAAATATGTGTCTAAGGAGAGGACAGCCGGTTTGGAGACTAAGAGGTGATAATTGCATGCTGCTGTGATGTCAGCATGTTCTGACTCCTTTTAATTCTGACCCAGGATCACAGAGAAAAGTTAGCCTCTCTTCGGGTCAACAAGGAGGCATTTGGAAAGACTGAGGGAGAGATTAGGCCTTGCATTCCTGGACAAAGTCACAGTTTCCGAGACAGAAAGAGACCTGCGTCTTATTAAATTCCGTTAAATGTGAAAATTGTGAAAATGTTGTTCATTTGGAAAAAAGCCTTATTGTTGTGTCCTTATCAA